CAACTGTATATTCTTTTCCCATCTATAATTATCTTGGGCCAAGCAGCCACTCACATCAGATTTGGAGTACTATGATTTATTGTGAATTTTTAGATGATGGTTTTGTTGCAGAGAAGAAAAATATAAAGCAAATATGTGCATTTGAAAATTCAAGCTAAGGTCTAAAGTTATGATTAGTCCCAATTATTCCTTGGTATGCCATCTGGACTAATCCTATATATGCCGCAACATATCTGGATTGATTTAACTTCATCAGGATGGGTCCAATATTTTCATTTCAACAAAGCTAAAATATTCAGATGTGCTTAGGCCTCATCTTTAGCTGCAACAACAGAGACAATGCAGTTGTACCATTTACTTGCTCAACTTCAAAATACAGATTCTGCACCTTAAACTTGTCAAGAATCTAACTTCGTTTATATGATAAAAGAGTAATAAGGAAAGACCACCTGCAAGTTTAGGACTGCAAGATTTTAAAACTGGATTAAACTTATTTAGGCAAAATATTTTAAAAGTTCCTACTGCTAATTGATTCAATTGTTCCTTTTAAAAATCTAGATAGTAATTACTAAAAATTAAAGCCAGTTCTCAAATTATTCATATTCTATCAAAAATGACGAAGAGCCTGTCTTAGAATCTGCATCAGACCTTGCTTTCTACACATACAAAACTGCAGCTAATTTTAACTTGAAGAATTAAACAAGAGCAACTGTCACTTCAGCTCATAATGAGTTATTAACTGAGTTTATTCCAGGTTTCATTTTTCTTCTCACCATCATAAATGTGCAAGGTAGATTCAGATAGCAGCATTTGTAGCATGTTTCCAATTACAAGAATAATGAGCCAGAGGTCAGCGAAGGTAGAGGAGGGGAACCTATGGCCCTCCAGATGTCACTTTAATTAACTCAAAGAAGCCCCAGCTGGCATGTCCAATGATGAGGGATACTGGGCTATAGTTCAATAACATTTGGAAGGTTACAGATTTCTATATGGTAAGGGTTATAGACCCTTGTCTTTCAAGTCATAATAGGTAAATAAAAAAAAAAAGAGAACATCAAGCTATCTCAGAAAGAAAGAAAAAAACAGAATACTGAGGTTCTATACTCTATCTCTAGATATAAAATAGGAAAAGAAAACAATAAAGGTACCTCTACCTGAAGTGGGAAAAAGTTTTCCTATCATCTTAAGAAACACTCATCTTACCTGGCATGTTTGTTCTTGGTTGAGTAACCTCTGTGGGAGTGATTGTTAGTAGCTCTGGCCTACAATTTAAAAAAACATAGACAATGATTCTGTGGTACTCATCTTACAAATATTTAGTGTCTCTTTTCTGAATTACCTAACATTATGAAAATTATTTTGAAACAACTTCATTAGGTTGTAGCAGCTCAACTCAAAATGCAAAATAGAACAGGTTGTACTCATTAATTTTAAACGCATTTAAAACGTATAAACCCTACTTATTTTATTTATCATTAAAACTACCCAAACAAATATACTATAATCTCACAACGTTGCAATCCATAGGCAGGATTTCAGGTGAGGTCCCCAACTTTCACACTCACAAAAGGGATGCAATGCATTCACCAGTAGGCCAAGATAGGGTGTTCCCTTCTAGCTCTGAAAGATGCTATCATATTTGTTAGGCTAAACCTACATACAATTTTATTTTCTAAAACACTTCTGGGATATATACAAGGCGTATAAGCTTGGTTAGAAATAAAGATAAGGTCTGAGACTGATGCTTTGCAGTATGGTGGCTTGTTTTTTTTAAATTAAAAGAATCTGAAGAAATAAAATCAGGTACGGCATGAAATGTGGAACAAATCACGAAGTGCTCAACTTGTATAAGTTACACTAAAGAAGAAGAAAGCCAACCAGTTTCCACAATATGATCTTATATAATAATAATAATATATCCAGCATTTTCAAGGAGAACATCAGGAATTGCTTTGAAGTCCTAAAACTAATTGACAGAGAATCGGAGGAACTGTGGGACGAACTTATAGAAGTTGTTAAGGACAAATGTGAAAAGAGACTGCCAAAGATGAAGAAAGAAGAAAGCAAACTGGATGTCAGAACAAACCATGGAAATTGCAAAGAAGAAAAGAGAAAGACAAAGAGAAAGCCAAGAAAGACAAAAATCCTAGGAAGGAATTTAACAAAGAGTTTCAGGGAACTGTTGGAAGAGAGAAAAAGCAGTATTACAACAACATCTAAAGACACAGAAGATGGAAGCACACATGGAAAACAAAGAACGTATTTCAAAAGATCTCTGAATGCAGAAAGATGTTCCAATCTCAAATTAATATGCTAAAGGATGCCAATGACAGATAGTAACTGCTTCAAAGGAGATCGGGGATAGATAGAAGGAGTATAATGAAATACAGTAGAAATATCATCATCCAAGATACCTTAGAAGATATTCCCAACTTATAAAAACCCCTACTCCTAGAAGATAAAGTTAGATCAGCCCTCTGATCATTACCAAGTCAGAAGGCTACAGGCACTGCTGGAATACCCAGTGAAATATGGCAAGCTACAGAAGAATCAGTCAAGGTTCTAACTAAGCTATGCTAGCAAATCTGAAGGACACAATGGCTAACAGATTGGAAGAAATCAATCTACATTCCAATAACAAAAAAGGAGATTTAATATGTTCAAACTATCGTACAATGTCCTTAATTTCACATGCTAGCAAGATAACATTTAGTATCATCCAGCACAGATTAGAACCATGCATGGAAAAAGAGATGCCAAATGCTCAATCCAGATTTACAAAAGGAACAGAAAACATTTTCTGATGCATGCTGGATAATTGAGAAAGCCAAAAAATATCAAAAAGAAGTCACTATGTGCTTCATTGAATACATACATACATACATAGATATTGATCGACAATATTTACTGTGTTGATCATGTCAAGTTGTGGAATGTGCACAGAAAAATGGGAATCCTGGAACATTTCATTGTCCTAATAAGAAACCTATATACAGGTCAGGAAGCCACAGTACAGACAGAGCATGGCAAAACGGACTGGCTCCAGGTTGGCAAGGGTGTGAGACAAGGCTGTATACTGTCCCCTTATTTATTCAACCTATATGTCAATATATATTAAGGTAAGCTGGATTGGAAGAAGATGAGTGTGGTTTTAAAATTGGAGGAAGAAACATCGGTAACCTGAACTATACTGATGACACTACTCTGACAGCTGAAAATGCAAAGGATCTGCAAGCTCTAGTAATAAAAGTCAAAGAGCACAGTGAAAAAAAGGGACTAAAATTAAATATAAAGACCAGACTCATAACAAGTACAATAGCCAGCCTTCGAATTAACAATGAAGATGCTTAAGTGGTAGATAATTTCTGCCTTTTAAGATCAACCATCAAGAGGAAAGGAACAAGCAGTCAAGAATATGCCACAGACATGCACTTGGTAGAGCAGCCACAAATACTCAAATGCTGTGATGTCTCTATAACTACAAAGATCAGAACAGGTCAAGAAATGGTATTCCCTGTGACACTCTATGGAAACAAAAGTTGGACTTTGAAGAAGCAGAATAAGAAAAGTATTGACACTTTTGAACTTCAGCACTAGAGAAAAATCCTGAGGATACCATGGACAGACAAGGGGGGTGGGGAACCAAATGGATCATCAAATCAATCAACCCAGAATTCTCACTTGAAGCACAAATGACCAGATTCAAAATATCCTACTTTGGACATGTATGTACATGTGTGTATACAGTGATACCTCTAGTTACGAACTTAATCCGTTCCGTGACTCTGGTTGCAACTTGAGCTGGTCTCAAGTCGAGGTAAAGTTTCCCATAAGGTTCAATGTAAATACGGTTAATCCGTTCC